ACCGGTGTTGTAGGTTTTAGACAGCGGTTGCTAATGCTACCGGTGTTGTAGGTTTTAGACAGCGGTTGCTAATGCTACCGGTGTTGTAGGTTTTAGACAGCGGTTGCTAATGCTACCGGTGTTGTAGGTTTTAGACAGCGGTTGCTAATGCTACTGGTGTTGTAGGTTTCAGACAGCGGTTGCTAATGCTACTGGTGTTGTAGGTTTTACACAGCGGTTGCTAATGCTACTGGTGTTGTAGGTTTTACACAGTGGTTGCTAATGCTACTGGTGTTGTAGGTTTTACACAGCGGTTGCTAATGCTACTGGTGTTGTAGGTTTTACACAGCGGTTGCTGATGCTACTGGTATTGTAGGTTTCAGACAGCGGTTGCTGATGCTACTGGTGTTGTAGGTTTCAGACAGCGGTTGCTGATGCTACTGGTGTTGTAGGTTTCAGACAGTGGTTGCTAATGCTACTGGTGTTGTAGGTTTTAGCATTATGGTGGTTTATTTGATTGCAGAGCCTTCTAGTGGTTGATCCAATATATTCCTGGTATGTATCACAAATGAAGTATTCAGTGGATGTTGTTTGTCTTCAAAGTTGAAGAGCCTCTTTATCCTAGATTCTGTTTAAAAGACAACACATCTGAACTTAACTTGTGGATATAAATATTTGATTTTCTTCTTAATCAAGTGTAAAGTAGTGCCCAAGTAGGGTATGACTAAAGTAACAGTTTTCTTTGGAAAATCTAACATAACAGATGGGATGTTTAGTTTTTCAGTTTTGGTGTGGAAAGAAACGATAACAGAAAATAATTTCTTTTAAATATTTATGTACTATTTTCAACTTCTGCTTTATAAAGGTTTTGATTTCCTGACATTTTAAATGCTGTGTAGAGCAGAGTGTTAAAAAGGGTTTTCTCTAAATACTGAAGGTGTGAAACTTTTAAGATGCGAATAAAGTCCATGGAAAGTGGATTTTTGATGATGTGGGTTACTTAAGTCATGAACATCTGGAATGAAAGTTTGTTATGATGTTGATTTTGATGTAGAGGAAACTAGGAAAACGAACAAGGTATATTATACACCTTTTACCCACTGTTATTGACATTGTAAGTAATATACAAGGTTGTAATATTTCTAAATATACCATTGTGTATTTACAATCTAAACAATCTTGAATAGAACATGCTATCAAAATAGTTTAGAACATTTTGTACAGAAATTGTGTTCTTATAGCACAGTGTGAGGATTTCTTATCTTGATCTTTGTTTATCTCAAGGAAATTAACTTTAGAATTGAACCAGGTTTTTCTTATCTCCACCAAATTCACTCTCAGTTGGTATTAGAGCAGGAGCAAGGAGTCATTTATTTGCTTGAAATGACCAAATGTCTGGTTGGTATTTTTTAGACTACTCAAAATGCTTAAAGTTCCACAGTAGTGGACTAGAGTGCTATTGCTGGTGAACTGTTGGATGGTGGGTTCAACAACTGAGGGTAAAAAAAATGTGATTTAATCCTCATGTGTGTTATTTTTCAACACGTACATGGCCATTTAAGGTTATGAAAGTTTTTGATGAGATCTATCATAGTATTATCATTTTATGTTGAATCCAACCAATATAAGCAATCTGACTCCAAAATTAAGTTTTTTTTTTTTTTTTAGAGATTTATTCCCAGGTCTTCGTTTGTATATCTCATATCTTTAATCAAAAGCTATACAGCTTACCAAATTTATATCTATAAAAATATTCCTATGAACATTTATGAACTTAAATGTTTACTCAGTGTTTAATTTAACCAACTATTATTATTTATATGCAACAACCTCAGTACAAAGATATCAGTAAGACTAGAGGTAGACGACCATTTATGGTACCACATTTGCCATGTTTGTTTCAAGTTAAACAAACTCAACATTCAGGTTTGAAAAATATCATTTATTGTCTTCTTTTAATCCATTACGCAAATCTTCAGTAAGTATTTGAATTCAAAGGTGCTGTTTAACAAGACATGACATTTCTTCTACTTTTTATATATATCCAAGTATTTGTTAGTAGAACATATTGTGATGGGTGCAGTTGAGTTTTTTCCAAAATAGTAGCTATGGAAAGAAACGAAAAGTGAAAAGAAAAGTAGGTATGTCAACAAAAGTGGCTAAATTTTGCTTACTTTTTCTGAATTGCAGTAGGTATGTAAACAATTGGTGGTGACAATACCAAGTCGTTTACGAGTTTTGCTGAATTTGGTTAGACATATATTATGCTAGATGTCGTATAAAGTCCTAATTCATATGTAATATCTGATCTATAACATTGTTTATGTTTAATATTCATTAATATATGGTTTTTGCAAACTAAAAGTAGCTTGCTTAATAACCATTTCTAGATGGGTCACATGTGAAAGGCCATGTTATCTCATTTGTTGGCTCACATTCAAAATTTTATTGAACTACTATTTCATGAATTTATGTCAATAACTTTGATATCAAACTGTAGATTATAATTCAAATTTTAGTACTATACATACACTCAATTTGTTAATTTAAAAGTAAATACTAAAAAACACAGATAAAGATTGATTTTTGTATGTCACGTGGTATGTTGAATGCAGCACTGGTTCAAATTAGATGTTTGTGAAGACAAAATACTAAGTCTATAGTTTCATAAAAATTATAAACTCAAATTACAGATATTGACAAGCTGGAATATAAAATGAAAACCTTGTATCTTTAAACATCTCTACATATCCTTTGTTGCATACATCCAGGCATTGGATATAAACAATAGTCATCCAGAGTTTTTAACATCTCTACATCAGCAATATTGTGAGGACCTTGACAGTTCATTGGAGAGCTCAAAAAGTCCATACCATTGCCATCAGTTAGGCTTTTAGGAGAAGAATTATCAAATATTTTGATGGATTAGTATTCATCAACAAACAAATTAGAAGGAAAAGCATGGTAATTTTCAACACTAAGTGTCTAAAGTAAACAGCCATTAAGCTGGCTGCTGATTCTAGCTCATCAGAATAATTTATTATCAAGGATGCTGCACATGGAGGTCAATGTTAGGTCTAAGGAAGGAAACCCCAGAGCTGCCAAAAATGTTGTCCCTTGAAGCTTGGCCTTGGAGTAAAGAGTTTAACACACAGCAGAAGAATAGTAGACATTCTTAACCACTTGGGACATTCAGTGAGCTATCACACTGAACTGTGCTTGTGACATCCCACACTGACAAAAAATAAGTAACACGTGATGGAATTCTGTTACAGAATGGTTTGTCAACACCTCTTACCTGGGATAACTATGATGACACCATTGGCTATCAGAACAAAACTTCTGCTACATCGGCCAAAAAAAGATGCAAGTCTAGATGACGCAAGCCCTCACGCAAACCCAACTAAAAGGAGATGGGTTTATGAACTTGCAGAAAAGGCAGTCTCCCTACAAAAATGCTTCTCACTTGAGAAGTTTTGACTATCAGAAATATCCCGAGTCTACACCAAATCTTACTGAAGCACAACAATTGGATTTTCTTTGGATGACGTGTTGTGTACTCCAGAAAATACACCAATGAGGTTAGGTTGGAATTCACAAAGCTTGCTATTCAATTTGGGACTGATATATCTAATGCACTACCCAGCATCCTCACATTTATGGGTTAAGATTTCACTACAGCATTTATGTGGAAAGGCAAAGTGAGATCCTGTCAGCTCGTGATAAAACATAATGACTTTGTTCTAGTATTTGCTAAGCTTGGAAGATGGCACCCTAAGATCAATAGAAAAATTGGTTTGTATGATGTCTTGTAACTCAGTGATCTAAACAATGCAGGGTTCCCGATCTTCACCAAACTCTATGCCCCATGAAATCCCAATCTTCCACTTGACCAGAGGAGATCTTTTGACCCATGTTGCATTCCTCCATGCAGAGCTGTTTTGGTCTAGAAGATACAAAGAACAAATTATGTCTCCCATGTATGGAAGAATGCAATGATGTTGCAACCAGTGGAATTTGGACCAGAAAGTCACAGATGGAGATTAAGTGCCAAAAATTGTATGGTTTGAAAGTAATCAGACCCCTTCAGATGTTAAAGTTGACAGTATCGATGATGTTGAAAGTGATAGTGACACAGATGATGAGGAACCAATATACAATACATCATCTAAGGAAGAAGATATGTCTGAATTTTGAGTTTGACTTGTGTTTTGTGCTTTCCATATGAGAACTTGTTTAATAACATTTGAATCATAAGAATACTTTCAGTCTTACTGCCTGCATGTGATTACTTCCAGTCTTACTGCCTGCATGTGATTACTTCCAGTCTTACTGCCTGTATGTGACTACTTCCAGTCTTACTGCCTGCATGTGATTACTTCCAGTCTTACTGCCTGTATGTGATTACTTCCAGTCTTACTGCCTGTATGTGATTACTTCCAGTCTTACTGCCTGTATGTGATTACTTCCAGTCTTACTGCCTGTATGTGATTACTTCCAGTCTTACTGCCTGTATGTGATTACTTCCAGTCTTACTGCCTGTATGTGGCTACTTCCAGCCTTACTGCCTGCATGTGATTACTTCCATTCTTACTGCCTGCATGTGGCTACTTCCAGCCTTACTGCC